CACACACACACACACACTCTCTCTCTCTCTCTCTCTCTCTCTCTCTCCCTCTCTCTCCCACACACACACACACACACACACACACACACACACACACACACACACACAGCGGGTTCACTGTGTGTGTGAGCTGGTGAAATATCAGCCTCTCTACTGTGAGATCAATCGACTGATTTGAAACTTCAAACGGAGGCGAGCAACAACAGAATCTTTGTTGAAGTCACTCGCTGCTTTCTGTCTTTGTGTTTGGGGAGGAAGATGAGGAAGATGAGGAAGATGAGGAGGAGGAGGAGAAGAAGAGGGGGGGGGTGAGAGCCAAGCTGGAGCCTGGTAGGCTGCACAGCTCGCCACGGATCACAAAGTCTATGAGGCTCTGCAGGCTTGTTTCGCTGAACAAAGCCATTGTCCCGACTCGCTCTGCGGAGCACAACACAACACGAGGTCCTGCGCCCGGAAAATAAATATGCATGGGCCGGGACGAGAAGACGGACCTCTTCTACCGCCCCTGCACCTTCACTCATGTCCAGTTTAGGTCATATTGTAACAACAAATGAAGCATTAGCCGTCGTACCTAGCTACAGCTTTCACACTGGGAGGATGTGGAGATCTTATTGTCATTTGTCACGAGGAAATTGTTTCTTTTTCTTTGCTTTCTGACATTTGATAGACTAACAAAGAGAACATTAGCTCCAGTGCAGAATGTGTATATGTGTTAGTAGTAATATCAGAACATACATCTGGCTATGCACACTGTGTTCAAGTACCTCTAACATCAAATACTTGTGATATGATTTGACTAAAGTGTCATCATTTGAATGCCATTTCAATTCTTGTTTGTGCTACTATGACTTTGCATCAGAGCGGAAACCATTAGCTTGATTCATTGATTCATTCATTAGTCAGCAGAAAATGCTTCTACAATGATTTAGAAGTTATTGTTTAAGCCATAAAGAAAATAATAATGTGCAATAATGACATGTGCAATTACGTATCTGCCACTACGGTTTTTTGGATAGAACTTGGATTAAGAAAATACCTTCTGGCTGAGGATGGAGCGGATGGCGTTCTCCACCTCGACAGGGTTTTCGATATCCACCGTCCAGACGTGGGGCTGACCGACGTACACCTCAGCGTACGGATGTTGGGAGGTCAGCTGCAGACAGAAGAGTAGAGGGTCAGGAAATCAAACGCACCTTTCAAAAAAACTCTTACTTTGACCAGATTTCAAATGTCACCTCTCTCAGCGTGGGTTTGCCTTTGAAGAAGTCTGTGTTCTTGCTGCTCTTCGCAGGCGTGAATTTGGGGTTCAGGAAAGCGCAGCCGTTGGCGATGGCCTCCAGGGGGGCGGGACCCTCGTAGGGGAAGGAGAGACCCACAAACAACTGCAGGAAGAGGCAATAAAAACCACTGGTTAGCCTCCTCATGCATGCTTTTTAAAAAATAAACTACTCAAGTAAAAAACACAACTTTGACACTTTTTAAAGCACATGTTCGACACTGAGGGCATGAAGGAGCTGTGGGAGTGACAGAATAATGAGAATAAGAAAAAAGCTGCTCGGGGGGGAGAAGGAAATTCACGAAGAGTTGCTGCTGTATGCTGATAGCAGCAGTTAACCCAAACCTCCCATGTTATCAGCACAAAATACAGCTGAGGCAGCAGATTTTCAGGGAGGGAAAACAAAAGGAACAGCACTCTGATGTTTGCTCCTGTTAAAGGTCAATAAGAAGACTGGTGACCGAGGACAGTTTGTAGATTGAAACACACCGTGAGAAGCCTGGGGAGAATTTGTATACAGATTGTCTAATTCAAAACCAATATTTATACACCATGTGACATATTCTGAAATCTCTGACTAAGCTGGATCTTTCCACCGACAACTTCGGGTTTGTATTTCTTGAAAGAAGGTGTTTTATTAGAGAGCATCCTAGACACACAGCATGGTAACAGTTTGAACTACAGGTCATATCTTAAAAAGTTTTTTTTGTAGCCTTGAGCCTCACTTTAAAAAAACCTTGTCTGACGTCTTGGAGAACAAAACATGTCTGCAGTCATTTTATCATCCAGGTTTTAAGCTGACTAAATAAAGCAGACTGACTCCTTAAATGTACCTTTAGTCGTGGGTTACTGTGTAAAGTCTGAACACACCAAGTCCTTCCCACATACTGTAAAGTACACACTGTACACAAAGAGTACAAGAGGGGCTTTAATAACAGCTCTCTCCTCCTGGATGGGAAGAGCAAATATTTGCCAGGTGGTAGCAGCGAGCTGAAACATGTGAGACAGATTCAGAGACAGAGAGGAGAAGGAGGGGG